CGAGACTGTACCCACCATTCCCTGAACAAAGAGGGTGGAAGATGTCCAGTCTGCGTCACTGAGGTGGGGACATACTTCCCCCCGACTCAGGTTGTCGGTGAAAACATGTGCGTCTAAGGCCGCGTCTCGTAGCACAGTAGTGGCCCCAGCCAAGAGAGCCAGGTGACACTAGGGGGTGTCGCACGTACATGTAGATGTGCGGTGGTCCACCAGTAAAAGTGTCGCCTGGTCTAGGAGGCTGGTGTGTTCTGGGCGCGCACAATAATGCGCTCAAGCAACTCTGCCCTCAGGGCTGGATGGGTCTCATGCTATGGGGTCTGATCCCAAAACCACACCGACCGGGTAGCGTTTGGTCCAATGTCTTCCCCACCCGGGGGCCTTAAGCGTTACGTTCTCCGTGGCAACCTTAGGTGGTCGCCTTAGGATCAAGGGTGGGGGTATTTACATCGATTCACTGGGACCACCCCAAAAGCGTGGCTCACCGAGTCATTACGGATGGAAGACTCTGAGGGACCGCCCGGAGTACCGGCTGTATCCGACACGAGCGAACTGCGTTTCCTTTCACTTTAAATATGTGAGAGGGAGCGTGTTCGACTGTGCATCTCATGACAGGGTCGGTTCCTTCTGGGGACGCCCGTGGGTTGGTAAGAAAGAAGTCAAAACCCACAGCGTGTACCGTTACCGCGTGACGAACAACGTGTGCCCTGCCCTGAAAGCCCTGCCCCGAGATCGGAGGCTTGGCTGCCAGCACCCCATTGGCATTCAGTGCCCAAGGCAGCAGAGGAGGCCTGGTGCAATTAGCCTGAGCCTCGGCCTCACCCAAAATTAGTGGGAGAGCTGCGGCTGGGAACGGGGGTTCCCCGGAAGAGAGCTGTTTGAATGCAAACATGCTTTCAAGTTTCTTCCTGCTTGCCCACCGAGGGGCCGCAGTGGAGACAGCTCGCTCCGACTGCGTCTGATTTACCCGGCCTGCCAGGGACGCAATTGCCCCTAGTCCTTCGACCAAAGCCCTCAACTCGGAGGCAAACCCGGCGCCGTGCGAGGAAGGGTCCACAAAAGGGACCTGCAACGGGCCCTTAGGAGGAAAACCTCTGCTGCAGCCAGTAAAAATTGGGTAAACCACCGCCTGAAAAAACAGACTGTGAGGATGCCCTTTGATCAGCGGTGGGAGACCGAGAAAATATCGGTACCTCCACCATCGGGCCTCCTACTCAAGGTCCCGGTACACGAAGCACCGGTAGCCGAGTGTGAGGATTTTCCACTCATGCCAAACACGCAACTCACTTTAACCGATTTGTTTACTGGACGCGCGACCTTGCTGTGACGCGGTCAGTTTCAGCGATTTTGATGGCTCTGAAAGAAAATCTCAGGCCTCAGAACTCAGAAAGTATCTCGGATGCGGGTTCTATGCTGGTAAATTCTGAATATAACCCCTGCACAGTCGACTTGAAACACGAGGAGACCAAAAACAAAACGGCAGCGAGCCCTGGTGCTGTCATTACATCTATACATTGCTAAATACATTGTAAATAAAAGACGACATGCATGAGGGAAAAAAACGAAATACAGTTGTAAAAAGTGCCGCCGTGAAACCAACAAGTGGTTACGTAGAGGGGCCAGGTTTTAATTTCTTTGTTGTGAAAAATACTACACACAAAGGGGAAAACGACACGAGGGTAAAAATGACAAGAAAAACTTATCCTACCAGCTACAATGTCGGATGCCGTGCAGCAGCAACAACCCAAGCTAGAAACCCGGAAAGGAAACAAGCAGCCTATCGTCTGAGATAGCTCCGCTGTTAGCAATGCACATTTCAATTAAAGAACTGAAGACATCATTAGAAAATGTACAATATGTATAGTATCAAAGCAATTGGACTTACAGTTTTTAACAAGTCGTCGAAAATATCACTTTTTACCAAAAATGACAAAAATATTCACCAAAATTAGAGAATTGAAGATATCATCACAAAATGAACAAATCTGAGAGAGGTCCACATGTAGTACCTATATATGTAATATCAAAGCAATCGGACATACAGTTTTTAACAAGAAGTCGAAAATATCACTTTTTACCAAAAATAACAAAAATATTCACCAAAATTAAAGAATCAAAGATATCATCACAAAATGAACTAATCTGAGAAAAGTCTACATGTAGTATCTATATACGTAATATCAAAGCAATTGAACTATTGGTTTTTAACAAGAAGTCGAAAATATCACTTTTTACCAAAAATTACAAAAATATCCACCAAAATTAGAGAATTGAAGACAGTCACAAAATGAACAAATGTGGGAGAGGTCCACATATAGTACCTATATATTTAATATCAAAGCAATTGGACTTGCGGTTTTTAACAAGAAGTTGAAAACAACACTTTTTACCAAAAATGACAAAAATATTCACCAAAATTAGAGAATTGAAGATATCATCATGAAATTAACAAATCTGTGAGAGGTCTACCCAAGGTACATATACACGAAGTATCAAAGCATTCAGGCTTGTAGTTTTCAAGAAGAAGTCGAAAAAATAAAACATTGACACGGACGCCGGACAATCACTCATATGATAAGCTCCGCTCGACAAAGTCGACAGCGGAGCTAAAAAAGCAGGTGATCCAGCAGAGCTCGCTAGATTTCATCTCCACTCGAGGTGGAGAAAAAAATTGACGGCTACCTATGGCGCTGCCATGTGGCCTCGGTCACGTGGGTTCGTGACGTAAGGGGTAAAAGAATCTTGAGGTCATGGGGCTTTCCCTGACCTAGATTCTATCTCTCCGTCACCGGCAGAATCGCTGATTATTGCCTACAGTTCAAAATAGTCATTTTGACTGACCGGAGTCTATGGTTGGTAATTGAACGTAGTGATTAATATTGTTTTCTTGTCATATATGTTTTTATGAATACGTATTTAATTAATTCTTTTATCAATGATCTGGTCTCAGCATTTAAAATGTAAACAAGTTTTTCTGTATTATTTGCTTGAACAAAGTTTTTAATTGATTCTGAGAATTTTGTATATAATCTTACTCTGGCCTCAGTGACTACATGATGTGAAAAAGTGTAGCTCATCTTCAGTAATATTACATTTTGCACATTTTCTATCTTCAATTTTTTTTGGGGGTTTTTGGTGTCTTCCAGATTCAATGATAAGTTTATGTGCATTTAGTCATAGTCTAGAAATAAGGCCAGTATCCTCTCTGTTTTGTACTGTTTTTATGTATTTGGCAATTTCAATCTCATTCTTTAATAATTTACATGTCCGTAGTTTTGAGTTTGGATCATTATTGCGCAAGTTCCATTTTATTTTATAGTATTCTTCAGTTTTCTGTTTAAATTCATCTTTGTTTTTTACTTTAAGGTAGAGATGCAGTTTACGTGACAGGTATTTTAATTAGTTAATTAGGAAACCAAGATGACTTCCCTTGTCCACAAAACTATATATTTACGGAAAGCTTATTGTATGAATTTAAAAATTTTTTTAGTATTCATTTTTTATGGACACTGTAGTTTGAAATGTGCACAAGCACAAAAATGTGCTTTTTTGGTCAAAAGTGATTTAAAAAAAAAATTAGCTTCTAAACCATGCTTCTGTTTCCTGTCAAAATTGGTTTATGGGTACATCTGTTTACTGTGAAGAAAGTGCGGTCTTGAAAACTGTCAATTCTGCAGGGCAGCAGCTCAAATTTCACTACTTCAAGTTTATGCATAAA